ACAGCCAACTGGCTCAGCCATAAGGGCCACCTGTCGAGGCGGTGGCTGGCAGGGACAGCTCTTGTGCCCGTTGGCTGCCCCGTCACCTTGCTCTACATAACCCTCCCTGTGCCTGCGCCACGGCATCACCAATAGCGCTTGGCAGCATTTTGATTTGGGTGGAAAGTATGTAAGAAGCTTTCCCAGGAAAAATCAGAGTACAGATCATCTCTGTTTTCTCACCTAGCACCCAGCTGGGGGCCCACACTTGCTGTCAGAAGGCCTCTGGAGGTTGAGAAATCTCATTCATAATAAAACTTCTCCCCCACCAGTGCTGGCAAGAGTTTCCAACGTGCCCACAGCGTAGGAGGGACGGCTTCCGAGGGCGACTGACAAACCGTGCTGGAGCAAAATGAGTTTTGGCCTCCACACCTCACCCCGTGTGCCAGGGGGCTGCCACCCCCAGGGCCACTCTGGTCACACGTGTGGGGAACTGAGGGCTCCTGAGGTTGCTGTGGTGAGGGAGGGAGGTGAGAAGGGAGGGCGGCAGGACGGGGTTGACTTCCCAGCGCTGCAGCTGTGCCGGAGCCCCGGGTAAAATTTGTTTTCCTTTCCTGCATCCCGCCGTCTGCTCACCTTCTCCTCATGGGTGAACCGCTGCGGTGATAGCTGCAGCGTGCCGAATAAACGTTGCGCTGCGAGTTGTTGGTTCCAGTTAATTAGCATTAATTTTGCTTTAAATGGATCCTAGTTGAGCTCATTTTCTCTGGGGCTGCGGCTGGGAAGCCTCTGAGCAGAGAGCTCGGGATGGGGAGCACCCAGGGCACTGCCGGCACCTCTGTGTGTGGAAGGGACGGGGCAGGACGGGGTGAAACCAGCACGATGTTTGCTTTTTGCACACTGCCTTTTCAGCGGCCTGCGTGAGGTCGCCGCGGCACCCGCATCCGTGACACCACAGGGCAGGGCGCGGGGCTGAGGGCGGCGCGAGCCGGGGCGACGGCGCCATCTTGTGGGTGAGGGCGCGGGGAGCGGGCAGCGGCGCCGCCCTCCAGGGCTTTCCTGCGTGGCTGTGGGCGTGCAGGGAGCTGTGCTGCGTTCGGGGAGGCAGCGGCTGGTCCCGCTGCTCCAATGCAGAGCACTCAGCTGCCTCAGAGCGGATGGGAGCCTGCTAACAGCGCTTGTGGTCACTCTGATTGTTGTCTCCCGCCCGGGGCGAGGGTTGTGGCATCCAGACGTTCTCTTGCTCAGCCGTGTTTCTCACAACCCGGAGGGCTCTGGAGCTGAGCCAGGTGGAATTTGTTTGGTTTTTTTTTTTTCCTGGAAGATGTCAAAGGACTCCTTGGAGGTGAAATCCCCCTCGCCCCCTGGCTTGTCACGCAGGCTACGAAAGGAGGGCTGTGGAGGGGAGCTGCAGGGGAGTGCTGCCAGGTTGAAGCGAGAGCCCCTGTGAGCGCATCAGGCGCCTGGTGACAATTCAGTCCCCAGGAATCTTTCCAGTGAAGCGACAGAAAAAGAGCAGAAGCAGGATGATTTGCGAGGCAGACTCATTTTGTTGGTGAAAGGGAATCATAAAAGCACCCCCTCCTTTCCCTACGGTGGTGTCAACACCTTTCTTTTTCTGGTTTCTCTTCTAGTTGCTGATTGTTCTCTTCCCTGGAGCAGTTCAACGGGTAGAATCTAGCGAGGGCATTGGCAGCTTTTACTTCAGCATCATCCAGCCCTGCTGAGAGGCACTCGACACAGAGCGATGGTAAAATGCTGGCAGAGGTACGGCCCTGCTTGTTCTAGCTCTCCTACCGCTCTTACCACCAGCCAGAGGGAAACTGTAAGCCACAGAGGCCGGGGTTAGAGGAGTCAAAGAGATTGCGAATCCTCGGAGGTGTGTGTCTGCATTGCCGCTGGCTGGGTTTGCGGCGGTGGGGGATTGAGCCGGTCTCTGACAAGGCAGCGAATCCAGAGCTGCCGTGCTGGGGAATGCTCTGAAACGCTCTCAGGCAGGCGCTGCAGTCAGGCTTGTTGAATTGCTGCAGCTCATCTCTGCGCCAGGCGGTGTTTCTCCTACGGCTGGTTGTGGTGTTAAACACTACGGCAATCAAGAGGCTTTGTTGTGGTCTCTGCAACGTTGCTTTTGCCTTGGCTAGCAGCAGTCTTTTTGTTGGAATAAATACTTTCCCTGAAACTGGCTGTGGGGGCATGTGTGGGCACAAGTGTGTGCCGCTGCTTGTGGGTATACATTGGACACAGCTGTGAACAGGCAATTCTGGTAGGTTCAGCACTTGCCCAAACTTGCTGCTTGTGAGAGCCAGAAGGATGCGTTCTTCCTCACTCTTGGGAATGCTGGCCGCTGTCATGAGCTTTTGAAAGTGCTTGAGTGAAATTAATAGATGCTTTCCAGCCACATGCAGAAATTGTTGCTTGCATCTGGCCCAACGCTGTATTTAGTCTTGGGAAAGGGTCAACTTTTGGTGCACTAAAGGAGGGACCAAACTTCCAGATCCTGACCCATCTGGAGTGGGACAAGCAGTTCCCTTCTCATGCAGCAGGGACCTGCTCACATGCAGCAGTGTACTGTGTAATGTATGGGGGCAAATCCTACAATGGCCCATTCCTTAGGAGCTTTGTAATTTTTTTCTTTTGGCACAGTTATCCTGGCTTGTTCCACCTAAGTTTCAGGAGGATCAGTCCTCCTCCAGGCTGTTACAGAAACACACAATAACCCCGCTTTCCCTCATCTTCCTCCCTTTTATGTCTCCAGTCCAGAATCCCCCAAACCAATAGAATTGTAATTTAATATTCAAAGCTTCAGGCTCCCCTTAGGCTCTTGGGGACAGAATGCTACCCTGTTAGTAGTTGCTGGGTAGTAATTTCAAAACCATTTCTTTTCAGCAGGCACTACCATAGCAAATTCCAGCAGAGAATGTTTCTTGCCTGCCATGCCAATAATCCTAGAGCGGAGTCTTATGTGTGACCTCTTCTGAAATGCCAAAACTATATATTTCTTAAAATTCCAGACAGCAGTATTTCTAAGACTTGGCATTTGGAGTGGCAACAGGGTTGTTTATAGGAAGAGAAGGGAAAGGACAGAAGGAGGATGTTGACCTAGCAGCCCTACAAACCTACCGCACTTAATCCACTTATCACTCTGAATTCCTGAAGCAGATAAATGCTGATAACAGTTAAAACACATCACTGACAGGAGCAGCACGTTCTGTCCTCTAGAAATACATCATTGCTGGAAATTGCAAAGCTGTGCTACCATGGGGATGAGTGCGATATAAGAGCTCAGGAGGCCCTCACTGTAGGAAGGTAGCTATTCCCTCCCTCCCCCAGCTATCTTGAAGATGCAGTTCAGGCCTGAGAAGTGCTGCTGAGCATGGTTGTGACCCCACATCCCCTCCAGAGCCACAGCTGCCTGATCTGTGCCTACATATCTGAAATACCAAGTAGGCCCCCAGTGTCTTGTTACCGCTCTTGATTGTCCTTGCTGCTCAGCGTTAAGACCTGTGAGGAGCAATTTGCAGCTGAGACCAGCCCTGTGCAGCTCGTATCAGCGTGTCTTGGGGAGAGGAGTTCCTTTTGGCTAATCTGAGCTAAACCTTCCCTGGAGGAGTGCAGCTGCTGCACCAGCTTTGCAAAGCCACACAGAGCCACTTGCTCCTCTTTCCATCTGTCAGGGCTCTCCTCGAGGTACTGGAGCTGGCCCTGGGCTCAGGGGAATAGAGCAGCCACAGCTGTGCACAGCCCCCCTGTGTCAAGACCCCTTCCTCCTAAGAACTTGTCCCAGGTTGAACAGGGGGAAAAACGCTATGAACTGAAAGTTGTTTTGGAGCAAGTCTTGCTCATACAGACTCAACAGACAGTGATTTAAATGCGCACAATCTACAGGCTTATCCAGATCTTAGCACAGCCATCCGTCATCCTCACCAGTTTCCACAGTGCAGCACCCAGTGTGAGTGGGAGCCCTTGAAGTTGCAGCGAAGTGGTTTCTTGTGGTCAGTGCAAATGTCTCTCAAGAAGTCTAAAAGGACTTCTCTAGAGAGAAGCAAAGACCTCTCAGACATCAGGGTTTTTTGAGTCAGACACTGCTCAGCTGTTGCACTGCAGATGTTTTAGCTAAAAACAAGCTTTCATTGAAATCAAAGGCTCTTTGTGAGTGTAGGTGGCAGGATCCTCCCACAAAGAGAGGGTTTTCTTCTTCAAAGGGCTCTCTTTACATTTCCCTACAATAGATTTTTTTTAAGGTTTGCCTGCAGTGCGAAGCCGATTCAGAGCCAGCATCGTGTGAATCTGAAACATCACAGCTGTTACAGATGAATGCACTGTCTGGTTGTTCTCACTTCTGCAATGCAAGTGCCTTTCTCTGAAGTAACCTAACCTGTGGAGGGAAGTATTTGGGCAGCAAGGAGGACAGCAGGGCTGTTTTTCTGTGCTGATGCAGGTACTTGTTTTCCATTTTGAAGGCTAAACAGGTGATCTCATGCTGAAGTGGTCGTGTAAAGAATTAGTTTGATAGTGCTCCTCTGCTGTGAACCCACGCGCTGTGGCACTGCATGGCAGCCACTTGAGCAAGAGAATTTGAAGTGCCCTTATTAAGAAATCTGGATAGTCAGTGCAGTGAAGTAGTCAGGGATAGCTGTTCCAAAACAAATGTATGAACAAATTCCTATAAAATTATGGTAAAAACCCTGATGTGCCACTTTTAAGCTTGTCCATTGCTCTAGAATCAGTTGACTTGTTCAATGAATTTGACTACGTTTACCTCAAATGACCTCAAGCTGCATCAGTCAAAGCATGTTTTTCTCTGTATTCCAACCTGGGGCTTTGGTCACTACAGAAGGTGACAAAGTTTGCTTTAAATGCGTGTGATGTTTTATGGTCATTGGAAGACAAAGCTCTGTGCGTTAAAGAGCTTACAGCCTAATCTTTTGACACCTGTTGATAGATATAACACCGTGATAATAGTGCAGAGAAATGAACCACAGTGCAGGGAGGAGTCTGACAGAAAAGCAGAAGAGGTTGCATCTGCCAGGAACAGCTTGCCAAAAGCAGTGTGTGTCTGTCCCGCCTGTCCCTGCACAAACGGGAGGGGATCAAACGGCCTTTCAGACGCAGGAAGACCTCGTGAAAAACAATTTCTTTTTGCCTTCTGGATCTTCATCTCTGGTTGCTTTCTTACAGCCTTTTGACCTTACCATGGGCTCTAATCTAAAAGTCATCTTCCTGTTTCTTTGGTTGCTTCACTACGGAGGTAAAAAAGTTGTTTTTTTTTTCCCTTCTGTTTACTCTCACGTTTGTTCATATTAGAGCATTTCCAGCTGCTATCTTCTGCTAATTTCCAGAGCTTCCCTCTAGGAATTTGCACACTGCTGCTATTTCTGTCTTTTAAGCATTTCAAAGCTCAGAGAGAGAATCCTTAAGAAAGGGGGAACATGGGAGAAGGGTTATATAACCTAAATAAAATGGTTTGGCTTTTTCCCTGGCATGTTCTTCTCAAACTAATGGCTCCTGGGATACTGTAAGAAGATGGATCTCTCCTCTGCTTTTTTACAGTGATGCTTTACAATGCCCTGTATAAAAGCTGCATTCATGTGTGTTCTGCTGGTAGAGATGGCGAGAAGGATGGTGATTTATTTTAGAAAATAAGGCCCAGAAGAGACTACTCAGGTTATCATTCCCACTGTGGCTGCAGGATTTTCTGTTGCCTCCTTTCCATGACATTATATCTAGTGCACACAGGACTGTACACTCACAAAGACCAAGTCCCTTAGGATTTCATTGTATCCTAGTTGCTTTTACAGCCAAGAACCCCTTTCTAATGATGTAACCTAAGCTCTTCCTTACTCTTGGGCTATTGTACTTGGCTATGTCGTCTGTAGAGGATTTTCCTTAACTGATGTTACTTCCCTGAAGTCTTTTCTGGACAGTGGTTGTGCCCTCCTTCTGTCATTCCACCCCTCAATTCTCCTTAGTGGTCTGCATTCTGTAGCATTGTCAGGGTTGCCTCTTCCCATGCTGGGTCCCTTCACACAGAGATGGATACTGCTGTTCCGATGCAGCATTACTGCATGATGACAGGAAAGCAAGTCTGGCTGTGTTCTGGGACCACGTTATTAATGGCTTGTTATGATCCTATTATAGATGCTGAACCCCAGAGAGTGCCATCAAAACCACGAATGGAAAAGCTCTACTTTACCTCTCTATATTTTTCTCCTTTTATTTTCACGTCAGTGAAAGAATCCCAACTCCATCATTTGGTGACAAAACTTGAATGCAAGTTTCCAGTTCCCTTCCCTTTTTTAAGTCCAACAGTGCTTTGCACAGGCCTCCTCTTAAAGGGCTTATTTGTGGTATTCTATCAGCTACCAAATAAATAGATCAGTCTGATGTTAAACCCAGATTTGACTGGGATGCCAAGTGATCTTGTATCCCAGGCTCTTTATTAGATTCACTCTTGGCTTTTTTTTCCTTTTATTTTATGAAATAGAGAGCAAACTTTGTTGTGGTTCCCCATTTGTGCTTATTCATCCTCTCTTGTAACTCCCTGCACCATTGCCTACTGAGTTGCAGTGACAGATTACTTTCAACAGGCCCAAGTAAGGAGGAAGCACATGAAGGGCATGATCTCCCATCTCTGCTTGAGACACTGTCACATGTAGATATTTAAGATCTGCAGTCTTCCGCAAATAGTTCCTGCATCTAGCAACCACTCCTGTGCTTTGCTGCCCATTTACAGCAGCGGAAGTTGGGAGTGATGAAGCTGTGCCTTATTTCTCATGGCCCCGGTGCTGGGCCCCGTGCACAATATGCAATTTCCTTCCTCACTCATGTTTCAGAGACACACTGTTCCTCAGATGCACCTGCTTGCACACAGCACCTTCTTGCTGGTGTAGAGTGGTCACGTGCAGGTGTACGCACCTGAGCAGAGCATTGTAACTCAGGAGTTACAGAACACATCCAGCTAGTGTTTGTCATGGAAAATTGCTTTCCTTTTTCATAATTTGTAAGTAGTCTCACACCAGTGCAAAATCAGTTCACTTCCTGCTTCATTTCCTGTCTTTCTGTACGCTGGCGTTGTGCAGAGGAGCTCACAAGGGAAAAGGGGAAGCCTGTGATTGCAACAGGCTATCTCAAATCACACAGCAATTACCTAAGAGATGTGGCAGATCACAAGGGGCACGTGCTCTGCATCACTCAGTTTCTGACAAGGGCCAGCACTGCTTGCTCTAGACATGCTTCTCGGCGTACATTTATTTTCACCATGTGATCATGTCTTTGGGGCAGCAATTTTCTCCTGACTTATAGATGACTGCTAACAATTATCACCCTTGCAGGAGGAGATGTCAGCGTACAGCAGAAACCTCTAATCCGGGTTGCACTGCTTAAGGAAAAAGTATCCATCCCCTGTGAAGTCATCTTCCCATACACACTGAAATACACCAGATTTACAATCTTCTATTACTGGATTAATGCATGGGACCAGGAAGTATCCATCTATAATAAGAAAGAACAAGTAGATATCCCTCCTGGAGAAGAGAATAGGACTGCCATCAAATCTTACAATCACGAAACAAAGCCGCTTGAAAGCACCTCTTCTACTGGCACATACTACTGCAAAGTCCAATGGAATGACATCCAGATAAAGGGAAAGGGAGTGTTTGTTCTTGTTAGAGGTAAGTGAACAAGCAGAAAGGAAGGGTGTACAGTTAAAGATCAGCTGGATTTTACTATGAAAATATGATCTGTATTCTTATCTTCCTCTACCCGAACAAGCTATAAAGTCAGATAGGAGTAATCTTAATACCCAATATTTAATGCCAGTTGAATGTGTTTTACACAGGTTACCTGTGCCATTGTTCCCAAGTCACAGGTGGTAACGTGAATAAGCAGTAATTTTTACCTACCCTCCACAGGCACTTGGGAGCACCAGCCTTAAAATCAAGCTCTAAACAGGGACCAGGTAGGGTGTTTTTAGTGTCAGTGTCCAGGACACAGCATGGTTTGGCCTTTATCAGAGTGACAGAGATGGATGAAAATGAGGTCGGTGGTTATGGTGCTCACTGTAATCGGATGTAGAGGTTAGGTGCTGACTGTTGGGGGCTCACAGTCAGTCTAGGGGCTCACCCTAATCCCTCCCCTTTTTCCACGTGGTTACAAGGTTTCAGTCGTTCCACTGATGCACAGACTGGAAAACAAGGGAGACCTTCGGAGAAAGATAAGAGCAAATGCTTTAGAAATGTGGTCAGAAGGTGCATGCTGCTGATTGGCTGGATTTGCATTACTGAATGCTGGATATGAAGAATTGCTTAGGGTAAATGTGAAGAGCCACGACGAAAAATCCCTTTTGCTGCGCCGGTCAGGGGATGTTTGCAGTACCCACTCCGCTCTTTCATGTAGCCTGCGTGCTTTCCACTATCTGCCTTTCTCCCCCATCACTCAAGACCTTTCCCAACCTCCAACTACCTACCAGCCTTTTTGGCTGCCATATATATGTCACCTCCCTCTAATCTGTTAAGAACACAAGAAACATAATTTCTGCTCACAGGATGAATCTTTTGCCTTCTTTCCCACAGGTACAGGGTATGCACAGACCTCTCATGGGCGAGAAATTCTCATTACCTTTACCACTCTTCTGGCTGCACTGAGCATCGCCGCAACAGCTCTGCTAGTGTGGAAAAGAAAGGCAAGTTATTACCAAATAAAAACCAATACCTGACACGGCCCATTCTAGGAATTTATTTCACTTGCTTCTAACTTGGCTGGATTGGAACTCCCCGTGCTGAAATTTTCCATGCTGAGTGTCTGCCTCAGGTTTATTTTCTTTTTCTAAGTTCAGTCATTCTGAGAAAAAAGATTACAGAAAAGATAAAGCGAGTCATTGATTTGTCCATTAAATAAATTCTAATAACCATTTTGACTTTGGCATGCTCTGCTTTAGAGCAAGGATCAGAGATGGGGCAGGCAGTCACACCAGCAGTGTGCTGGCCCTGAGAATATTCAAGCAGATGTAACCTTGTGATGGGTCCTTGGAAAATTGCAGTTTCTGCATGCTTAGTTTGTGGCTCTTGTCAATTTAGCAGCTCAGTTGTCGAAGGGATCCTGTGCAAGGCTGTCCTTCCACACAGCATGTCCTGTGTGTCTGTTGCAGTCCCAGTAGTGGAAGGAGAGCAGGGCTTTCCCTGTTTCTAATCCTTTTTCAAGATGGGGCCTACTCTGTTGCAAAGGCATGACCTGATGAAAGGAAACTTCAACTGCATTCCTGAGCCATAGGTTGGGTACTTTAGAAAACAACAGTTTGCAGTGTGGAGGGGATGAGGACCAGAATATCGAGCATATGCTTGGCAGAGCAAACATTAGGAGACAGTGTTAAAGGGGAAGGTCATGGTAAGATCTCAAGGAAGCCTGTGTAGAGGTCACAGCTGACTGGGAAAAAAGAGTGAGACAAAATTCTGAGCAGCCTGCCTAAGTTGACCCTGAGCAGGCTGCAGATTACACTAGACAAACTCCAGAGGCATCTTCCAATGTCAGTGGTTCTGTGAGGCTGAAATGAAGGGACTTGGGAGGGAAATTGGGACTGGGAGCCAGAGTGAGAAAGCACTAGAGCCTGGAGAAGGGTATTAAGACTGGGCTCACAGGGACCTTTGGTTGAGAAGGCCAGTAGCATAGGCTTGAACCGTCTGGGTGAGAAAGAACAGAGGGTAAAGGAGAAACCACAAGTGGGGAATAAAAGAGGTGCAGAGCAGGAGAAGAAGAGCTGAAAGTAGGACTGAAAGGTCTAAATGAGTCAGGAGCCCTGTGGAATAAACTTTGAAGTTTTAATACTGGAATCTCTGTTGGCCAGGCGAAATCTACTGTTCTATTACAGAATCACAGAATTGTAGGGGTTGGAATGGACCTCCAGAGATCACCAAGTCCAACCCCCCTGCCAAAGCAGGTTCCCTACAGCAGGTCGCACAGGTAGGCATCCAGGCAGGTCTTGAACATCTCCAGAGAAGGAGACTCCACCACCTCCCTGGGCAGCCTGTTCCAGTGCTCCGTCACCTCACCGTAAAGAAGTTCTTGCGCACATTTGTGCAGAACTTCCTATGCTGCAGTTTCCAGCCGTTTCCCCTTGTCCTGTCTCCACTCACCACTGAAAACAGTCTGGCCTCACCATTCAGCCCCCCACACCTTAGATATTTATAGACCTGGATCAGGTCCCCTCTCAGTCTTCTTTTCTCAAGGCTGAACAGACCCAGTTCACTCAGCCTTTCCTCATAGGAGAGATGCTCCAGGCCCTTCACCATCTTCGTGGCCCTCCGCTGGACTCTTTCCAAGAGATCCCTGTCTTTTTTGTACTGGGAGCCCAGAACTGGATGCAGTACTCCAGATGAGGCCTTACCAGGGCAGAGTAGAGGGGGAGGATCACCTCCCTTCACCTGCTGGCCACGCTCTTTTTACTGCATCCCAGTATGCCATTGGCCCTCTTGGCCACAAGGGCACACTGCTGGCTCATGGCCAACCTGTCGTCCACCAGGACACCCAGGTCCCTTTCCGCAGAGCTCCCCTCCAGCTCCAGCTCCCCTGAAGCTCCCCTCTAGCATTACAGCTACCCTCAGATGTTCCTTTGCAATCTTTTGGATATCTTAAAGCTGGCTTGAATAGACTTGATGTATTTTAGAACTGAATTTGGGGAATTATGTTTTTTTAGGTATTGTGTCCACCCATATTTACTCTGTCAAGCTGCCCTCTGCCATTACAGCAGCAGTCTGTGCACATGTTTTTATGTGAAAGCTACGTTGCTGATGCAGACCTTTGGCTCCAAGGAGCATCAGGCTTCAGCATGCACATTCAGAGATAGTGAGATTGAACACAGAGTGGTAGCAGTTGGCAGACCTGCAAATCTCGTGAGATTTACCTTGCAGGCAGGCAGGTGGAAGGGGAAGGAGTTAGAGACAGAGTGACTAGGCTGGAGATGAACCCCCAGCTCTGCCTGCCTAGATAGCATCTCCATGGGGATAGGAGGGAGGCACTCTCACAGCTTGCCAGTTGGCCCCTCTAGACTTTGAGGCAGGCCAGCAAGTCTCAGACCTATAGGCTCTCCTTGGGGCCTGAAGAGATCATGCAGTCATTACATTTGCCCTCCTGCTGAACACAGACCATATTTCTCACCACAGCTTGCTCAGACCTGCTGGTTTAAAAATGTTTATCTTTAAGAGAAGCTATTTAGCATCCTCCTTAGTTACTAATGGACTGGAAAGCAGTTCATTGTTTTCATGTGATGTGAATATAATCATCCCACTTCTTTCTGAATTAAAACAGAGATACTTAGCAAAGCTTTCTGCCTTCTCTGCCTCTTTCTTTTGCTTGCTGAGCAGTGCTAACCCTTACCTGTGCATGAATGAAGCATATTCAAGGAGAAACAATTCAGAGGAAAAGACTTTCTTCCTTCAACTCCATAACTCCGTGCTGGACCTGCCTGTTAGTGTATCAATGACTATATGTCATCATTAATGCCTGTCTGGTGCTTTTCTTTAGACTCTGTGTATTAGCTACATTTTCCCAGCCAAATCCTCACAAAAATCACTGCATTCTGCCTCTCTGAAATTCCTCTTGCACTTTGAACAGGGCTCTGCTTTATTCCCCATCCTTCAGCATTGTCATGTGCTGTTAAATACCTATTCCCTCCATCCTGCTGTCAGTGGTAGAGCTGATTTCTATATACAGACAGAGCCCAGTTCTGCTTTCCAGTGCTTCAGTGTCAGTTGTCAGACTCCTTCCTTTCACTCAGTGGTGAGAAAAGTGACTGGCCTGTGTTGTGCAGAATGCCATCATTCTCTACTGTGCGAGTACTCGGAGGGTGTGTAGGCAGCTGGCTCTGATGTGACACTGGCATTCATTTCATCCTTGGGGAAATGTTATTTTTTCCAAATGTGTAATTCTGTGTTTTGTCCTGAGCAGATATTGTGTCCTAAAAAGAACCAACTAAATATCAGGAGACAGCAGACAGAAACTCAGCCTCCTTCAGCAAGCCCACCACCATCTTCTCCTGTTTATGACGTGAGTATCAGAATCACCCTCCATCTCAGCAGCAGTGATAGCTATATACCTGGCAGCCCCATTTCTGTGCTCTGCCCTGGCCAGCTCCTCTCAGGGCTGTGCATGTCTCAATCCTGTTCCCAGTGCCAAAGCCTTGTGCCATGCCCTGTGCTGGTGGGCAGCACCCTTCCCTCCGCCAGCAGCACATGACTGAGCAGCAAGCATGGGGCCATGGAGAGCTCCTGGCACTGGAGGTGGAAGGGCCTCCAGAAGTCAGAAGGGAAGACTGGACCTCAGCCTCACTTGTACTGCAAAGTGTCTCAGGGACATGCTTTTCTCAGGTGGACAGTGATGACTCAGTGACAGAGAGAGAAACACTCCCACCAACAACTTTTTAGAGGCTTTGCTGGTGTGAGTGGCATGGACCACTGCAGTCCTGAGCTGGCTGACTAGCATCTGGGGAAAAGGACAGGAAGAAAGTGAAAGGAGATTTTTTGGGGGCATTTACCTTATTCAACTGCATAAAATGCAGCCACTCTCCTTTCTCCATTCTCCAGAATGGAGAACACTGACTGCTGCCACTCTATGAGCCCAATAGTGGCAGTGTCATAGGTAATAGGATTGGAGTGGCTCTCCTGAAACGTCAAGCCCAGACCTTGACTACCTCAAGAAACCATGACTCCTAATCACATTTGCAGCCCATCCAGTTCCATTTAAAATGAATTCCTTTTTTTTTTTTTTTTTCCTTTAACTCCCATGGGAGGGCTGCTTTGCTAAGAAGGGAATGATTTATTTCATTTATTTTTTTTCCACATGGTCTGTGGGACAAATGGGGAGGAATGAAATGAAAGTGAGTAGAGAAGGATGTTGCCTGAATATTAGGAAACCTTTCTGACTGTGAGGTCTGTAAGGGCTAGAAAAGTCTCTCCAAGGAAAACCTCAGCTGCATGAATCATTTAAACTAAACAAAGCAGAGCTCTGGAGAATGTACTGCGGAGAAGAGCAAAGCCCTGCCAAAGAGGCATGGAAATCTGATAGGGGGCAGATGTGAAAGCAAGGGCAGGCCTGCCCCCTTCTTGTTCACACTTCACTGAGTGGGGGGCACTGCTTTGTGGCCCTTCAGTTTCTGGAATGGAGGTTTAAAAGAAAGCACTGTACATGGTATGTGATATGTTTATTCTGGGTAAAAAGAAATGCTTTTGGTAAAGGATGTTGCAGGTTATAAACCTTTTCATTTGTATCAAGTAATTTTTTTTTAATTCTGTCTTTTAAAAATCCAAATGGGTAGTTTCCTGCTGAAGTGGATGATTTCTGCAAGGAGACAAAAAAAAATTCAAATCCATTTCTCGCTCAGTCGGCCTCGTCATGCATCCTTAGCTCCATCTTAATTACATGTTTCATCATGTTGTTCTGTTCAGGAGGCCCCACTAAGGCTAATGCAGCAAGCCAGCAGAGCCAGCCTTAGGCACAGGCAGTCCCAGTAGCTGGCTGGGCTCCTGTGCTTCCAGGAGCCCTATGGACCTGGCCCATCCAGCCTTCCCCCATAGCCCATTAGCCGCACGCCAGCTGTGCAGGGCTTGCAGCCAGCCCAGTGTGCAGGGCAGGCAGCTCAGCCCTCTTTGGCAGAACTGCAGGCAGCCTCAAATCATGTCATGTATGCCATGGGGTGTGAGCCTGCCCCACAGAGCAGATGCTGTGACTCGTTCAGGCATGAGGCAGCAACTCCCGCAGCAGACGCAGCGCACGGTGAGAGCAAGGCTCTGAGATGTTATGGGAAAGATAATTGGGAGGAGATGGTGAGCCCTGGGATGGAGAACATGCTCTGTGAAATCCTGTTGGTGCTTAACCAGGTTGCTGAACACACAGCGCTTAATTCCTGGGGAAGGGAGGGATAGACTTCTATCTGTGGTCAACTCTGGGGGAAGCTAAGGCAAGGAAATGGTATGGTTGACTGGAAAGTCACTTCTACTGATGAGATAAAGAGGGAGATCAGAGATTAGGTGAAGGGACAGGAGGCCAGCATGTGCCAGATATGCTGTCTGTGAGGGAAGGCAGAAGGTTCAAGTCTGGAAAAAAGTTAGGGAGCCACAGTGTTCTAGTGGGCCTGGAGCTTGGAGCAGACACAACAGACAGCAGGACTGGACATACAGGCAAGGACTTGGAACTGGCTGGTGCAGCTTGTTAAATGGTCTGTGCTATCTTCCCTGGCAGCAAGGCTTGCCCCTGGCACAGAAAGGCTCCCAGCACACCTTCTGCAAAACCATTCTGCTGCACGTCGCTAGGAGCAAATGCTCTCCCCACCATCTATTCCAGGTGACACCTTATGGTCCCTAAGGGAGAGTGTATGCAGTGAAATGCAGCTTGAGACTGTACAAAGTCCCTGTAGTGGGGACAGCTGGACACCTGCTTTGTTCCACTACACTGTAAGCACTGCAAGGCCTCTTCACTCTCCTGCGGCCCCAGAGGAGTTCATCGCATCACCCAGACCAAAACCTGTATTTCTCTCCATCTTCCAGCTTAGCTGCCTAGTTAATGAGCAGCTTGGAAATAACAATCCAAGGGCCTCGCTTCGCCTGCTTTACACTTCAAACAAGCTTTTTCTTTCAGCAGCAAACAGAGCTCCTGCAGCGCAGGCGAGTTCCAGAGCACAGGAGCTTTTTGAGAAGGCATCTGCCAGCAGGGAGGAGAGGCCTGCGTGCTACCACTGTGACTGTAGCAGGTGCTCAGTGACCATGTACAAGTAATTGATTTGCAAATGGCAGTTGGAGACACTAGCCTTCCAACTGGTCAGCAAAGCATTATCAGGAACCTCCGTGGGAAGGAGGGCTTGCAAAAAGAGGGAATCTCTTTGGGGGTTTAAGCACTAAAAGGATACGTCTTGCTCGTGAATGGCTTTGGACTAGAGCAATGAAAAAGGCTGCCTGCCATGTCAATGGGATGCAGAGCCAGGCTGTTAGGAGCACTGCACACAGGACAGGGTCCTCACTGCAAGCATCACAAAGAGAATTGAAAATGAGGAAAGGGAAATGAGATTTTCTGTGCACGCTTGTGCACACAGAGGTAGTTGGGAATGTGTTCTCCAGGCAAGTGGGATCTTGGGAGAGAGACATGGACAAGTGAAGTACTTTGACTTCTTACAGAGGAGGAGGAGTGGAAACGGGAGAGCCACATGGAGTTTCTTTCACTGTGGTCCTTCCTGATGGGGGCTTGCTCCCAGCCCCATTTCCAAATGCTGCTCCGTTATCATCTTGTCCTGTTCTAACCACAGTCCTGCTGGTCATGATCCAGAAAGATGCTGAACTCCCAGTGAAACGATGGGGGTCAGATGACTGGCAGTGCCAGGAGAAACCCCCTGTATTTTGCTGGTCCCCTTTGCTGTATTGCAGGGCACCTTGCTCCCTCCACAGTCTCTCCACTAATACCATCTGCCCCTCTTACGGCTGAGCTCCTCCCATCTTACTGTTGCCAGAGAAACAGCCACCTTGGCAACCTGCTGTCATCCTTGAAACACACATGGAAAAGTCCTCCTGATTGTTATGTTTGATCCTTCAGGCAGATCTGGAACATCACTCAAACTGACATGCATCTCTTGTGACATGATTACCTGGGGGACCAACGGGTGCATACACATGTAGAACGTGTGTGTGTTTCTCTGTATCCATGTGGGACCGCAGATATATCTGTGGGCCTGCAAGTGTATTGATTTTTTTTATTATTATTATTCTTTACTCTAAGAAGGAAAGACAGTTCTAGCTTGGAAAAAAAAAAAATACCAGGCAATAAACAGAAATTGTGCCTATTGTAGGATTTCCTGTTTTCAACAGCCCTGTTTTTCAGGACCCCAGACTAAACTCCCTTCTCGTCATTGTGTGCCCAGAACAACCAAGAGCAAGAACCTCTGGCTGTGAGGCATCCAAACAGTCTTGAGAGATGCAGCTTGCTGCCTGTTACCTGTGGTTCCCTTTGTGCACCACAGACAGGGAGGTCTTTCTTACGCATTCTGTGACGATTTGGAGGGAAGCAGGGACATTGGCATTGTTCTCTTCTGCCTTACATTGGATAGGTAATGTCATAACCTGTGTCTATCAGCCTGAAAAAGAAAGGTGATGAAACTGCACTGTAGAAGTTTTAGGACAAAAAATTATTTTATTTTTGTGCAAGACAGGAACTTCAGAATTTTGTAGGTCAGAAACAGCAGGCACAAGATGAGGAATCAGGTGTGCTTAAACCTAAGCATTTAATTTGAACCCTACCCTTTTCTTTCTTCCAGTGCCTGGATTCGCAGCAAGTTGAGGTCTACTCTGTCCTCGAGAACAACACAAAGATCCCAGAACACAGAAAAAGTCTTCCAGGCAAGGTAAAGACTGGGGCTGTGTTCGTTCTTAGAGAATTCCCTTAGAAACTGGAAAGCTCAGAGGCACCACGGCCCTGGCAGGTAGTAAACGTGTCTGCTATTTCCCCACTTCCAGCCCCACTGAAAGAGGAAAATGGGACGTGACATCCACTCGCCAGCTGGGCTGCACATGTAGTGTATGTTCCTGCTTCTGACAGAACCCCTGCTCCTTCAGTGTTACTGATTCTGGCAGTCCTGGCTTTATGCAGATGCTTTGCTGAAAGGTGTTGAGAAGTTTGGCATTACTCCCTCTAAATGGCCCAGATATTCACGGAGAGTTGACCAGATGCTGCCCTCCACTATTACCTTCTCCAGATTGTTTAGGCAGCCAAGAAGTCCTCCATCACAGAAGAATCTGTGTACTAGGGGCAGACTTGGGACACAGTTTTACTCTGGCTGGCATTAAGCACCTGCAAGATTAAGCACCTGGTAAAAGAAGGTAAGATGGCCTGAACAGAGGCAGGAAAAGGCAGTGTGGCTATGTCTTGGATCTTCTTGCTCGGCTGAGAGTTACGAGTTAGAGACAGGGAACTGAATCCACTCATAATGAAAGTAGCTTGGAATATGCAGGCATGGATCAATTGTGGGAGCCATATGGTGTAGACTGGAGGCCCACACAGCCCTGCACCCTGCCCTTAGCACAAGTATCAGATGTTTCTAGGGACAAACCCCAGGGAACGCTTCCTTCCTACCCTCAGATCTTTGTTGTTCATTTCCCCTCCAGAACTCTTATCTACTTAAAAAGTAGATTCACTCTTCTAACACTGGAAAATTTTTCTGAAAAATGTCTCCTGCTTCTCCCTCTGATGTCCTGCTGCAGAGCATTCTCCAGGTTAACTATGCAGTTGGTGCCTGCAGCCAGCTTCACCTGGCACCATCCCTCTGTTTCATGAAGGAAGGACAGTATTGTCCAGTGTCTGAAGCACTGTCACAAATCCAGTGGTACAGAACCAAGTGCCTTCTTCCATGTCAGAGCTAGCTGCATGTGTTCTCCTTCCAGCACCGGTGGCATGCTGCAGTTAGTGCTGTGGTTTTAAAGCAGTTGTAGCAGAGGCAGTGGCAGGTATCTGATTACTGCAATTGATTACTGAAGGGAAGAATAGGTTCTTTTATATAAGCTGTCTTCTACCACAGTGCATCTTACGTACTGGAAGAGACAGCATTCCTGTTCTTGTGTTCTTGCATTTTGAACTAATTGGGTAGGAAGATCAGTCAGTCCAGATTCCTCTTCTCTGTCCTATTTATTCATCTGTATACCTTTATCAGCTGCCTCCTTCTAAATGATTTGGTCTGAATGAGGAGATGCAGTACGTCTTTTTTCCTACCATGGAGTTGTCTGGGCTGTGCTGAATCACCTGTGTGTGGCCCATACCACTGAACTGCTTTAGGGGCCAGCAGACTTGTAAAACAGCGGGAACAAAGCAACGAAGCAAGAGCAAAGGAGTATCTGTGTGCAAGTGGGTCTGGCTCTTGTGGTCTCAGCGGGGGAGAGGTAAAGATCGAAAAAGAGGTGGGAGAAACAAAGGAGAAGAGAGCAAAAAGAGGTGATGGGATGAGCTCTCACTGTCATGAGCAGACATACTTCTGAGTGTGTTCAGTCTTCATGCTGGTCAGAAACAGGGAAGTGTGAGTGGCGGGGCTCCATCACCTCCTCTGCTCTGTCCCACCTCAGGGTTCTGCTTATCCTCTCCAAGTGTGGAGAGTGGAAAGGAGCTTCTGCAGTAGGAGCAACTGTGAGGATTGGAAGAGAATGCCAAGGCCTTGGGCTCTCTGCGCAGTGAACAATGATTTAAAATGGAAAAGTGGGAGAATTGTATTAATCTCTGAGGTTGTTTCACAAAAGCCAGGAATGAGTTGGGTTCCCCTCAAAGGGATACGGCCTTCTCTGCACAGGTGAATTTGACTGTACTTCTCACTGCAGGGACAAAACCTCTCGATCAGCTTCCCGCTCCATCATCCTGGGCTCTGGCCACCTGGGATGTTCATCCTCTAGCTGGCCATGTCAGAACCTAATAGGGTGTTTTTGTAAGAGCAAGCCTTGTGGGTCAGCGGGTTTGGGCTGGAGCAGGAAGCTTGGGTTGCTGAACTGTGGCTGAGACTCACTGCAGAGGATCTCAGCCAGCCCTTGGTGCAGGATGGTGCATGTCAAGTGAAGCAGCGCAGAGAGCACTTGAAGCAAGAGCATTTGCAAGCTGTTGCATTGTGCTGACAGCCAGCCTGGGTGGTGATGGGTTAATCCTCTAGTGTCTGTTCCTGCTATGGAGGTGCCCGCACTCAGATTTTGTAGAACATTTCCCTTTGGTGGTGGCAACAGAGAAGAAGCTAGTGTAGGTAGGGCTCCATTCGGCCTCTGGCATTCCAGCTACTCACTGCATAACCTTGCTTACAGCAGGCCTGTGCCACGCGGCGCTTAAAATATCAGTCTGTCAGCGCCTTGTCTACACAGGGAACAGTCGTGAGGAATAGACTCAACTGTTGAAGAAACCGGATTGGGGAGGTCAGGGAATTCCTCCTTCACAGAATCCAAAGTGATTTATTTTTTTACCGAGTCCAATTTTCCCTCCCCTACTTGTCTGACGGCTTTTTGGGCGAAGAGTGACAAGTAAAGGAGGCATCTTTATCCCTTGGGCTGGATTAGTCACGTTCGTCTCTTTTGGAGCAACATTTCTCAGCAAAGCGGCTTCCGTTTCAGCAGATCTCTTATAGCCATTTCTAACAGAACAAACATCAGTGTCTGCTGATTAAGGATTAATTCATCTTCTTTTGAATAATTTTCCTCCATTTCTTTTTTCTCCTTTTCATCATTCTGCAGACACCTAAGAAGGAAGAAACTCTAGAAGAATACAGTGATACACTGTATGAGAATATCTAAGGGAAAAACTGACGCTGTGTGGATCAGACATCTTCCTGCGCGACAGAGCTACTTTCTACACCCTCTGTTCTCTGTGAAGACCCACAGTGACTTCAGGGCACAGCCAGGGGAACTCATGAACCTTGGGCTCCCTCCAGACTGCACTTCATTAGCAGCAGAATACATCTGTTCAGATCCCACGGGGGCTCAGTCTGTATTTATGCAACGAAGCTATTTTGCAGCAAAGCTGTTTGATGCAAAAGAAAAGCTGTTTTTTGTCGAGCAGTCACATATCTTAAAAATGGTGCAGATGGGATCTGTGCAGGTTTCTCTCACCTGGCCTGGCTGAAATACTTGAATCTTGATCCTCTGGAGGTGGTATCACAGTCCAGAGACCTCCCTGCTTGCTGGCTTGATCTCTGAATCCTGATCTGCAGCAGTCCATCTGATCCTGTGCCTGTGGCTTTCCTGACACAGCCATCAGGCCTTCATGCATAGTTTAACGAAGATCCAAGCATCCACCTGCCCATTTTTCCTTTTTCAGGAACCCCACAGCAAAACATGCTTTCTCGTAATCTGCTAATCCCATCAAGTAGTCACAGATGCCTGCTGCGACCATACTGAACTGACTCAAATCAGTGCCTTGGGAGAAATGCTTTCTCTTCAGCAATATCAGCAGTATTGGCTGAAGGATGGATGCATGAACAGAAATAAAAATGGATTTGAGGAAGACAGAGAAAATATCCTTGCCTGCCAAGATGTCCCAGTGGCAGTGGGAACATCCAGAACAAGGAAAAGGAAAAGCCGGGAACCTGAGGAAACTCCCTTGCTGGGTGGCGTAATCCAAACAGTTCTGGGGCTACGTCCCGGCCTGAGAAGTTCAAGCTGATCTCCCCAGCTTGCTGTTCTTTTTGGCAATGGGCATTCTTACTGTTTGGGATTTTGAATTTCTGCGGGAGGAGATTTGGTATCTCTGCCTCACCAAAATCCGTAGGTTTGCCTTTGTTTCAGCCGGCCATTATTTCCCCACAAAGATAGAAGTTTTGTTCTGCTTTGTTTTCCCTCATAGATTATTTTGGCAGATGGATGAGTTCTCAAACTTAGAATGACCAGAGTGAGGAGAGAGACCCTCAAGGTGAATTTTCTATCCAAGCGCTTCTCTCTCCTGTCAGCTGGAACTTGCTTACCTTTAGTGCTGATGCATATGCTAGTTCTAGTAGAGAAAAGGTTACATTTAATATCCATATAACACGATCAAGCCAGTGGATCAAAAAGCTGAGGCTGTTTTATCTCAGATTAAAAAAACAACAACAAAATAACAACCAAACAAAACCAACCCAAAATAAGAATATGTAGCATAACTTGAGAGGAATCATAGAAACCTCTTTAAAGAAGAAGATCAAATTAAAACGGAGCTCCAGGGTCATAGGACCCTCTCTAGTTGAAGATAATGTTGCTATGCATCAGAGATAGAGGCTATGGAAAATGTCTCCAGGGCCTCCAACCTTCCTATACTACGTTTAAAGAGATAATCCGCTTATTGCTTTGCTCTTTTTATTAGAAGAGATTTCAGACATGCAATTTGGACTTTCTTTAACCACAGGAAAACGCTTTTTCTCTTCCCAGTGTTGAGGAATTCATTTCAGAAAGAGCAATAAATAGACAGTGTGTCTCACTAGACTTGTCTTCCGGTTGTTAAGAGAACACAATAATTAGAAATAAAATTTTTTGAACTCAGCAATTTTGGTATTTATTAATGTGACCAGAAATAGCAATTGGAATAAAAACATTTCTCAGAAAAAAAAACACAACAAAAACAAACAAACAGCAACAACAAAACAAAAACAGAAACAGGGAATCATGCGGGTGTAATGCTTCCTTTCCTTAACAAATCTGAAGAAATGATGAGATGAAATATAAATACATGGTAGTGTGGCAATAAAATATTCTAAAGGAGCTGGTTGTTGAGATGAAAAGTGTAAGCTTTCAAAATAATGCTGCTTGTTGTTTTGTGTGTGTGTGTGTGTGTGTTTTGCTTTTTAAATTTTATACATGCTAAAAATAATAGTGCTGCAAATTTCCTGGCAAAGATCTCACTTTGCAGTGAAGTGTTTTGCTTTGCCTTTCTATTAAATAGTGTTCCTTACATTTATGTCTGAACAATTCTATATATTAAGTAGCAGAAGGTGTTTTAAACGAAACGTAAGAAAAAGAATGATATTTGGAACAGAAAGGCTATTTTAGAACAGTCAGTGCTCAAGTACTGAACGAATCCCAACCGGTTCCGATCAATCAAGTGAAAAAGTAAAAATGTCCAAGAAACGCTGAAAGTCTGGGGATTTGGGCTGCGTGCCAGAGCCTGTCAAAGTCAGGAGGAGTTGCTGTGTTGATTTCAATGGGTTTGGGATTGGTTCTGCGAGGCTAAAAGACTGCTGCTTGAGAAAAGGAAGCTTGGAAGCTGCGTAGCCTGAAGCTAGTATCACTTCTCCAGCTCTGTGCACTGTGGGCAGCCACCCAGAGCGTGTGAGAGAGAAAGGTGTAAAGTAGAAGATGGTGAGAGAAGAGTTGTTTTTAAATGGTACAGAGTTTTCCAAGGAGGTATGAGGAAATGCCCTCTGGCGCAGGTAGGAGAAACCAGTGAATATAAATTTATATAATATTGATTCAGTTTCTTTATAGCAAAGGTTTGCTCAGAAAAAGAAAAAAAAAAAAAAAAAAAAAGGCAGTCGTTTGCTCTTGTCTGCATGGTCCCTGAGAATAGATGCAGAAAGAGACTGTTTTTAAGTGTGGAACCATACAAATAATAATAATAATAATAATGAAGCATAAGAAGAAGAGAAGTTAAGGATTATCTACCCCTGCTCCACACGAGTGAGACTTGATGACGGACTCATTGTGTTATTCCTAAATTGAATGCTGAGAATGGATTCCTCTTGAAAACGATGTCCCTGAGGGCCATGGCTCTGCTCGCTTTCCCCAGCATGGTGCTCTTACACACAGAACATGCTCTCAGGTTGCAGAGCTGTAATCTTTGATTCCCAGGCGGTGGGAAAGCTAAGAGAAATTACCCCTTTGTATTGACAGGATTTCAGGAAGTGGAGACGTTATCAAAATAAGCAGTGGTGCGAGGTGGAAAATGCACTGTTTTCTTGTAAAGGAGATGCCATATTAACACAGGGCCCTTTATCCTCTGTACCAAGAGTGAGCTTTTGGTCCTAACATGCAACCTCTCACTGTGATGATCCTCTGTGTACTGTCTTAGCTGGCACTGCTCTAAGGGGTGTTGGTGGCACTGAGGTCATGTAGTCCCTTCACAACACTTTCCAGCAAATCCTACTTTCAGAAGGCAAAAAGCTGAGTGCATACGAGTGGTTTGCTGTTTTCATCCTTTTTGGTAGAGAACAAACTCTTGCATGGCTGCTGTTTTATGGTATGAAATATACCAACCACGTTTTGCCTTTTATCTGTAGACAACAAAGAGCTTGTTGTGATAGGTGATTGAAACAAAATGCATTACCAAGGTGTTGTCCATTGTATTCACTTTCCATTGCTTTTGTCTTCCGATCATCTTCCTTTCCCTTCTCAGGGGTATCATTGACATTAAACATTTCTATGGCAAGTGTCTAAAGACATAGCTTGGGCTGAATCTTTTTACAAAAGAAGGCACTTACTTACCTACTTACTTACCTACTTACTCAAGTGGAATGGCTACTGCAGCTCTACTTGGACCCCTGTCCCACCCAGCAATACCCAAAGGGCCAAGGGCAGGGGTCCCATCTTCCTGCTGGGCGGTCTCTCGGCAGAGTCTGGTGTTTCTCCAGTTTTCAGCCATGCAAGGGCTGTGACCTCGTGTCAGGGATTTAGGGAAGGCGGTGAGTGAAGCCACCAGATGGTGCCCTAGGTCCTCTCTGCTCCCTCTCCTGTCCCCTGCCTGCCCACACGCCCCTGAAGGACCCCAGCCTCCCGAGGTGGGTGCCTAGAGCCACGCAGAGCCGCCCCAGCCACGGCTGCCTTTTGCCTGCATGGATGGTGCCTCTGGCCCCGCACAGCTTTGCACTGCAGCCCAAGTGCCACCAGCCCCTGAGAGGTGATGAAGTCAGGGCAGGCTTCCCTCCTTTGCACCCATGACATAAGTGCATCTCCTGGAGCTCCACTTTTCTTTCTGAAATATGTGGCTTGTGTTCCATAGCTCTTGACCACAAAAAGATTGGGATATACAGCTGGTAGGGCTAGGCGGGTCAGCTCCCCTGCTTTAAGCAGTCAGAATGTAATTGCCCAAATTGGAACAGCATGAACATGGAAAAGCTAACATATGGGCTTCTTCGAAACGTGTCTTTAGGTAAGCAGTCAGAACCTCTGTTTTCTATCCCATCTGAAAGACTGTTAGGCCTACAATTTGGGGCAAGGATTTCTGAGCACTCCCAGGGGTAATAATTGTACCCAAAATACCTGTACTGCAGTTGCGAGGGAATTAGCCTTGTAATGCCACCAGCAGTGCTTTATGCTGACACATGTCATTAAAATCAAAGATGTCAAGTATCCTTGCAAGGCTCGGTATGATATTTCAGCTTCATACACGAGGAAACAGAGACTCAGGAGGTTAAACGACTTTTCCAAAATTGCATAGGGTCAGAAGTAAAGTCAGGAGCAAAATTCCTACGTTCTTATTCAGATCAGGCTGTCAAGGTGAGAGCCTGTAGCTGGGTAAGCAGGAATTATTGAGCTCCTTTCAGTCTTATAAAGTATGGGGGAAAAATGTCTCTTGCTGGGTCTCCAGCATCCGTTTTGGCAGCATTCTTCTTTCATTGCTGGTTTCTTGTGCAGGTATTGATCAGGGCTCCCATTTGCCTGGCTGAGGTCTGCTCACAGAGGTCGCTGAGCTGCAGAAGTTACTGCTTTCTCTTATGGAGGTATCCACCATTTTGGCAATAAGGAGAGCTCATAAAAGCCAAATTACCATGGAAAGCCCAATTACTTATGCTGTAATTCCCCAAATAAATGTTTATGGAGGGGACGTGATGAGTTACTGCACATCCATCCCAGAAGGTCTTAACTGCTGAAGAATCTCCTGGGCTGGTGGAGAGGTCTTAGGGCAGGCAGAGCAAATAGCTGTGGCTCATCGCAGCACTCAGCTCAGGGAAGATGGGGAAGCCCTCAGCCAAGCTGTCCGGGAAGACAGAGGTGCAAGGAGAGGAGGTGTGATCATTCTGTGAATGGGAATGCTTGCCATTCTTTTGAATATTCGAAAGAAACCACAGCCGTGATGTGATGTAATTCCTGCTTGGTTGGGTTATTTATTCAAACAGGGCTGTGCTGTGTGAGCACGTGGGGAAGAGAAAGTAAAACTTAGCTCAGCTTTTGCTCCCTTGGGATTTCTGTAGGCTTTCAGACTCACTGAGGTCAAGGCAGGGTCTGAGCCTGGAGCGCAGCGGCTCTTCAGAACAGCTCTGTGCAGCCCTGCTCTGCTAGGCAGTGTGCGAAACGCAGGTGTGGGTTTTGGAGAAATCAGTTTAATAAGGGAGCTGTAGCTCTTTTCTCCCCCCCAATAGATTTAAAATAATCTCGCTGTCCATAAAAATCAGGTTAGCTATTTTGGGTTCATGTAGAGCTAAAATGAATGCAGCATCTCTCATTTCTAGTCATGATAAGTCACTAGATATCAATTCTTAATTGCTTGATTAATCTTGAATTTTCAGAGCTGACACTGCCTTTCCTACCTCCAGAGAAAAGCTACATATAAAAGAAAGAAGAAAACACTTTCCTCTTGATCAGAAACAAAAAACAAACACCAACCTCACAAGGTAAGTGCATGAAATGAGAGAGGTTTGTGGCGTGTTGTCCTGAGACAGCCATTAGGCAAAGTGTGAGTGAAGCAGCCAGAGGTCCCCGAGATACGGGGGTGGACTCATTTCATTGTATGCTTCAGCAGTTAATTACAGGACAACCTCAAATTAGTGCACTTGTGTTTGCTTGTGTGTGTTAGGCCATGGTATTCATTTTAATAAATGAGTAGAGAGGTTTCCTTCACGGAGATCATTACATTTCTACGTGTAGAAATGCTGTTTAAGGTCAACAAATACAGGAGATGATGCCTTTGTATGCTTTGTGTATGCTTGGACTGATAATTATCACTGCAGTGCCTCCCTAAGGGTGTTGTTAAAAAAATACAGACCCAGAAAGGAAAGGAAAGATGTTCAAACTCATTTTAGAACATTTATAACATTGTCTGGGCTTTTTTTTTTTTTTAAATCACTGTGTGTGTGGCACATTCAGGATGAACAGCACCTTGGTGCATCAGCCCTTGCTTGGCCACACTGTGCTGCAGGTCTCCTATTTTGTGGACAACGTGATATAAAGGTGGCATGGTGGCATGGGTGCAAGCTCGGACTGGCTTTCCTACTGTGTTAGAAAAGGAGGTACTTTGATCTCCTTGCTCTAATTAAGGAATAATAAAAGGCTCTGATTTTTTTATTAGTTTTTTCATCTCAATTAGCTGCCATCGATGGATGCTACAGACTTCTTGGAAGGGGTTGGTGCTGTCTGGGACAGCTTCTGAAAGGTCTGTGTGATCCAAGAAAATGTCATGACGACAACACTAAACAAAGGAGAGCTGTCATTGTTGTCATTACCGGATGATGAACCGGGGACACGTCCAGAAAATCACAGTGGTGTAAAGGAAATGTTGTGAGGATACAGTCACCCCTTAGATCCCTTTGAGTGCAGCACTCCCTCCATGGCTACCTGATGGAACCAAGCATGGTTCTTTTGGTCTACAGCAGTGCTGTAGAGAAAGTTTTTTCCATGTACAGGATCGAGACCACCTGCTCTGCAAATGTTGCAGTTAGCAAGCAGTTAGACAGTCAAAAGCGAGACATCCCCAAGGCACGCTGTCCCCATCTAATGCCTTCCCACAGTCACTGCTTCTTGATCGTCTTCCATGAATCGGGTGATGGGAGCTCCTCTGGGATGCTGTCATGCACATTTGCAGATTAAGACTTCCTTTGCTTAATTTCATTTACACTGATATCATTTACACTCCTTCAGACAACCCTAAGCAGTCTTTTTCGCTCCCTGGTGCTTCTGCACCCCTGAAGTTCGCATACACAATTCCCATGATGCTCTTCACAGTTGTTATTTGGCCAACCTACACACACTGTAATCCCTTCCAGCTTTTTTATCATTTTATGTTCTTTTTTTTTTATTTTTTATTTCCCTTCAAGTCGTTGACATCTAGCTTGTACTGAGCTGTCCAGATCTAAACATGTCTTCAAACTGTGGTCTCACTGCTATATTAAAAAATGGGACTATTGCCTATATCTCTGAGAAGAGGTCTCTGCCTTTACAACCCCAAATTAAATTAACTGCATGATTTTTGCTGCCATATAACATTGCAAAAACATATTAAATCTGCTGTCTGCTGTCTCCCTGAGGTCTTCTGGTATTTCTGCTTTCAGTACTTGAGCACAAATGATTCCTCTCTTCACCTCAGTTCCTGCCTTTCAGAAGCTCACATGTTGTACCTCTGCCTCTCAGACACATGGGATTGCTCAGAGTTCCTCTTTGAGGAACAATGGTGTGACTCCTTATGTAGGAGCTCTGTGTTTTCACATGAAATAGTTTATTTCCACTGTCTCCTCCAAGCTGTCCTATGACGGTCTGTTTCAATGCAATCAGTAGATACGTTACTCCTTTTGGTTTCCAGATATTCCTATTTATAGCTGTGTAGAGCACTGCCCTGTATGTTAATAATCAACCTCCAACTGCTGGAGCCTTAGGACCACAGGTTGAAACTCCTTTTCTGGAAGAAGAGAAATGCTCTGCTCTTTTTTCAGATGTTTCTGTCCCAGATGTCAAGAATACAGATCAGCTTTTCTTTGGATGGGTAAAACATATTTTAACATTCCTTTGTGCAAGAGGCATCATTCTATGGGTGCCTCAACACTCTGAAATTAACTTCCCTGGGAAAAAAAGTCTAGCACAGAAATTGCCATCGTCCTCTTTTTCCCTGGTATGAAACAGAGCAACAAGAATAGAGGAGAAAAAAAAAAAAACCCAAACCAAAACAACTCACAAAACCAAAACACTGCCCTGCACATCATTTTCTTCCTGGGGAGAGAACCAGACAAAGGAAACCAAGCCCCACGTGTGACAGATGTTACTTGGATCAGTTAATGTAGTCCTAGACCGTACTTGAATATTACGATTATGAAAACAGCATAAGAATCGATACACAAAATACATTTTATCATATTCTATTTCATAGATAAGAGAATCTGGAAGAATCAGTTGGAGAAGGCGAGACAGTGTTGTTGTTGTAGCTGTGATGGTCTGAAGATCCCAGGGAAGCCAGGTTTGTGGAGAAAGGTAATATCTTTTATTAGATTAGCTGATATGGCTGGAAAAAGCAAACAAGCTACTGGGTTCAGGGTCTCTTTATCAGATCTGACAGAAAGCAGCAAAATTCAGGCTAACTACAGGCTAGATGCAATTGCTCTTAGTTTAATCTAATTATATTAATCAATTTGACCACTTGAGAGAAAAAAAAAAAGGAACACCTATGGAGCACAGAGGCGTGTGAGCAGGAGTGAGTGACAAGCTGACGGCTCTCTGCTGGACCACAAGCAAAGACAGGGTCAAGGTTTATTTTCTGGAAGTCTTCTGCTGGTCTCCTTTGGGATAAGGACTGAGGGGCCTGGGTTGTTATTTTCCAGCACATTTTGCTAATGATGAGTATGTGTTCCTCTGCTTTATTGTCTGTCTGTATGCACCCGTTCTCAGATGGCAATTAGTTGGTTTCACTCACATGGCTTCTGTGGGGGTATCTCATTTGCCAGATGAAGTGATGAACTGTAGATTTGGGACAACTCTGTGCAGGAACAAAGAATTTCGGTGGTTTTGCTGTGGGAAGAAGGGCATTGATTATGCTGTCTGTGGAGCGGCGCTGGCATATTTCATGTTTGATGCTCTGGCGGGATCTGGTTCTATTTCATGTGTTTTCATCTGCAGATTTGCTTCCTGTAATGAGCTGGGAAAGGGAGAGGTGGAAGGTTAGGGGGAGAGGCAGTAAGGAAAAAAAAGTCTTTCAAATTGAGATAGTCATTTAAAAGATTAATTTACGTGTGGATTTTAGCATGGGGTATTATTGCTATGGGGTGCACGTGATCAAGGGAGCGGGAATGCTGTGTTAGAGACTCTAAACTAAAAGAGCAAAAAAATAAATTGCCAGAAAACTAATGTGGTCATAGACTTTGCCAGCCCTTCTAATGCTGGCTGCACTGTACAACCACCAAATGAACCTGATCCCTTGAAAAGTGATTGTCTAAAATTGGTCTTGTTGACATTGCATCTGCCTGGTAGTGGACATGCCTGCATGCTGCTGCTGTGCAGCAGCCTTGCAGGGCAGGAGCCTTCCCCTCAGATGGGCACACCAGTACCCACAGGGCCAGCCAAGCTCCTCGGTATGCTTTGGGTGGCTGCTGGGCACACACTAGCTTTGCTGAGGCAGTTTTAGGCCCTGTAGGTTGCTGGTTCATGGAGGCTTTGTTTCTGTGCCAGTTGTGATGCCACTGAAGCCAACGCTGGTGTAGGAGCAGTGGGGAGGCTGCTTCTCAGAATCACAGAATCACTAAGGGTAGAAAATACTGCTACGATCACTGAGTCCAATGGTCAGCCCAGCCCCACCATGCCCACTGGCCACGTCCACACAGTTCTTGAACACCTCCAGGCGTGGTGACTGCACCACCTCCCCGGGCAGCCTGTGCCACTGCAGCGCCGCTCTTTCTCAGAAGAGATTTTTCCTCATATCCAACCTGGTGCAATTTGAGGCTATACGCTCTCATCCTATCACTGTTATCTGGGAGCAGAGGCCGACCCTCACCTCGCTGCAACTTCCCTTCAGGTTGCAGAGAGCTCCCCTGAGCTCCTCTTCTCCAGCCTGAACAACGCCAGTCCCCTCAGCTGCTCCCCATCAGACTTGTGCTCCAACCCCTCACAGCTCTGGACGCACTCCAGGATCTCCACGTCTTTCTGGTAGTGAGGGGCCCAGAAGCGAACACGGCAGCGGAGGTGCGGCCTCACCGGTACAGAGGGCCGATCACCTCCCCGCTGCCGCTGACTTGAAAGCCCTGCGGACGGACAGCACCGTGCCGCACCGCTCCCTGCGGACCGGGCCCCGCCGTGGGTAGTCGCGGGGCGGGCCGTGCCGTGGGCAGCGCCGGGCGCCGCCGGATCCCGCCCCCGCGCCCCGCCGAGGAGCGCTCCCGCCCGCGGCTCCTCCTCCTCCACCGCCGCTCCGCCGGCAGCAGTCGGGCCTGACACCCGCGCCCGGCGGCGGGGCCTGGCCTGGGCGGGGGGCGGAAGGGAGAGAGGGGAGGAAGGGGGAAAAAAAAAAAAAAGCAAAAAAAAAAGCAAAAAAAAAGCAGCACCACCACAAGAGCCGACCCCCCCGGCGGGTCACATGACGTGACCGGATCTTGCCCGCTCCCCGCCGCGCAACAAAGAACCGGGAGCCCCGCGCCGCGATGGCACCGTGAGCGGCGGCCCCGCCAGGTGAGCGGCCGGTGGGCCGGCGGGCCGGGATACCTCTCCTGTGCACCCGCTGGAGGTGACTTTCTGTGCTCTGCCTCTTCGTGGGGATTTGCGCTGAGCGGCCCCAACCGCTGCGGGGGGACGTTGGAAGCCGATGGGTGGGCGCTGCGTGGGTGTCCGCGGTCACCCGGCGCGTGGTCCCTCGGCTGGCTGCCCCGCGCGTTCTGCTCTGAGCCAGCTGTGCGCCGCGCTTCCCAGCCCTGCCCGCCGTGACCTTTGGGGCCGAGCTTTGGGGTGATGCAGATTTTTGGCAGAGCACCGTCCGGGTCCGAAGTGCGATCCCTGTTCGGATCGCTGCCGGCAGGACCGTGGCTTGGACTTGCTGATAGCGGGTGACACGAGGGTGACACTGAAGTTTGAGGGCTGGACGCTGGGATGGTGGTATGGCCATAGCCGGCCGTCGGCAGCTTTCCATCCCGAATCTACCATCTGCATGGCGCGGTCGGAGGCTGGAGGTCGGGGCGGGGGCAGCCCAATGGGCCCACAGCCCTCTTTGTGTACATGGCATGGGATGGTGCTGCAAAGGGAGCAGCACTCGCCACGTTTTGTTGTTTTCAGTTTTCTTCTTGGTCTGTAACCCCCGCCACCACGATGCTGAAATAACACACTCCTGGGCATCACCAGCATCTTCTGCGCTTGCCAAGTGGCCGCCCAGCGGGGATTGAACGCCTCCAGGCCTGACTGTGTCCGACTGGGAGTGCCTGTGGGCTGGCGGCTCCCCTTGCACGCTTATCTTGGCTTGTGGGAACAGGGAAGGAACCGCAGCTGCTTCCAGGGGAAGGCTCTGGGTTGGCCACGCTGCTGTAAACCTGGATTCAAAATAAGTGAAACTGAGGGGTGAGGAGGAAAGAAGCAGGGCAGGACGTGTTGTGTGTGCCCCGGGGTCCAGAGCTGCATCAGGGCCCGGGTGGTGCACATCGGGTGGGCCCCGTTGGCAGGTAGTTTGTGCACATCTTCATGCAGATGGGCCTTGAGTTTGTTTATAATGAAAGCTATGAATCTTACTGAACAGTTAAAGCAGCAAGTGTTCCAAATTTGAGGCGAAGCAGAGTGCAGACAGTACTTATTTTTATTGCTCCTTTCTCCTCCAGCCTTTCTTTATCTGTAGCGCCTATCCTTAATTCCTTCCCTTCACAGCCATGGTGGGGAACCAAAGTGGATTTGTCAGTAGCCAGCTTGGTTTCTACTGATTAGTGCTGAAAATATGACTGTTCTTAATGTAACCAGCTGTGCCGAGAGGGCCTGGAACTGGGATGTGGCAGCATGCTTGGTGTGGGTCGTTAGTGGCCGTGGAAGACTAATGACGGGCTGACAACTTGTGTCCTCGAAAAATGAGGAGGAAAGGTTGGTTTCTCCCCTGGAGCAGACAGGAGGTTTGAAGTGAAGATTAGTGTGTCTGTCTGTTCCCTTGGGAAAAAAACACATGGCATATTTTTGAATCCGAGTCATCAGGTAGAATTTATTTCAAGTATTTTTAGGCTCTTACAGATTTGGTGCACTTTGACTGTATGAAACTGTTGGGTAGTCTTGCTAAGGTTTGCTCTATCTGGTCTCAGAAAGGCATTGAGAGCCTCTGGCTCTCAGGTCTGAGCAGAGCAGCAGTGCTTTGGAAGGGTAGGGGCACCAGCCGTGTAACAAATACGCTGTCTGCAGAGATGCTAAGGAGCGGCGCAAACCACCCAACCCCTCTCCATGCTGTTGCAAGCATGTGAGTGTGGGAGCAGGAAGGCATGGAACACTCTGCCTGCCCTGTGGGCTGCACAAACTACAGGGAAAGGGAGCATGCAAGGCTCCTGGCACCAGCCCAGTCGCCTGCCCTGTCCCTCTAAGCTCTGCTGCAGCAGAGGGGCAGCACAGAGTCTAATGTGTGATGTGACTGGTCTGCTCACGTCACTTTGGGGCAGTCACAGTGGGAATGCGTGGCTTCAGAGTGATTATTAGTGTCAGATGACTTGGCCAGGATTGTATAATGACACTGAGCAAGAGATAAAAGGTTTTATATCCCGTAAACTTGATTCTTACTCCAGGGTGATCTGCAAGGCTTTTGAAAACGTGTGGTTTGACGGCTTGCTGGTAGCTGCAAATAGGTGTAAACATAAATCACTTGAAACAAGTCTCTGAAAATAAGAACAAACATAGTGTAGACTATAGGCAGGAAAATGAAAAGAAGGGCTAATTACTATTTTTTTCTATTTTTTTTTTTTAATGATTTTTTCAATCCTGGGGATAGGGTTCTGGAAGTGACCCGGCAGCTCCTGCAATTTATTCATTTATTTAAAGAAGCTTTGTAGTTCACCTTGAAAACCACTTCCTGCCATATGGTTATATTGTTTCCCTATACCACATTTTTTGCTAATTATCGAGACCATTTGCTTTAAAATAGGTGTTTTTAATTTCACAGCCTTGTCTGCCTCTCCTGCTTGATCCTGCCCTGGAGTCAAGAGGCTGTGTCTGTTCGTTCTCCATGGCAACGGGTTGTGATTTACTTATTTCAATTTAATTAAAAAGCAGCTATCAAATTCTAGGCATCTTATATGTTCCTTGTATTAGAAAAATATCAGTGGCTTAGCCTCCACCAGCCTCGGAAATGATATTCTCAGCCTGAGCTGTTCATGCCTTCTGCAGTTTCTTCCTTTTGGAACAGTTTGGGAGAGGGAACGGTGCCGTGGCCTGGCTGGAGGTTTGAGGGGATGGGAGGCGTGGACATGGGAACCTGGGCCTGAAGGCCTGGGCAGGGAAACCTGTACGTGGGGCCTGGAGGGGGGAGCCTGGACTCTAGGGCCTGGATGGGGAGGCTTGGACTCCAGGGCCTTGGTGACAGCACTGGGTGCGAGTTCCAAGCACCCAAAAGGCTGCTGGTCCTCTCCTGCTGTCCTACAGCTGCTGGGATGTCACAGGCCACGCTGTGGAAACAGGGGTACCCCAGGCCTTGCATGGAAGGTGCAAATGGACCGTGGGCTCCATGTACTGGGCTCTCTGCAGAGGTTGCATCTCAGGAGCCATTTTGTGAGGTAGTGCTGGGCTGCAGTGGCAGGGCTGTGTGGACGGGGCGCAGACATCTGGACTTCCTGCAGTGAAGAGGCAGAAAATGGCGGCCCTGCTAGACATGGTGTGGTGTTTACCAGCTGTCCCTATGTGAGAGAGAGTGCAAGTTCAAATCCTTCATGTTGACTTTGTTTCTGTTGTTTTCTGATCCTTCTTGACGCCTATCTGTTCTTCGATGCATGTGTGATACAGCTTGGGTTTTCAAGCTGGTCACAGTAGAGAAGCCCCAGTGCCCTCTTGGGTTAAGTGTGCCTGGTATTTGTATGTAGGCTAGAAATGAGTTTAATCCTGAATTAGTTTTCCAGGGGCCGTGGCTATACAAAAACCAGTCTGTGTTGGTCATGGATAAGGAAACAAAGCTGCTGGCCAAAGCAGGGACAGTGCCAGGAGAGGACTTGCAGGGCAGATGGAGGAGTCCAGGAGCATGCGGATTTACTGACCCAGAGGTGATAGGTTTGGTAGTAAACTCAGGCTATGTGATAAGATAGTGCCAAAATTAACACTGCTTTGTCTCCAGCACCACCTTCCTGGTTCTTACAGGGTTGTTGTGCTGTGGTGTGTGACTCTGGGAGAGCTGGGCACGCTGGGCTGTGCAGCGCTTCTGAGCTGCAGGAACGCGCGGAGGAAGAAAAGTTGGCTGTGCATTTTTATTAAACCTGGAGGAGCAGTTAGCATCAGAAGAGTGCCTGCATATTTTATTTTCCTTCTCTTTAGTGGTTCTACTCCCCGTGCTTTTTCACAGGCGGTTATTTTAACGTCGGGCTCAGGTTCTCGCTCCTCTTGGCCCTGCCAAAGCCCGGGAGGCTGCGATAAAGCGTTGGACGCTCTCCTGGCTGGCAGATCTCCATTGACAAAATGATGTGTGTGGTTTTCAGCTGCAGATTCTTCATTCCTGGTGATCATGCACGAAGCTAATAAAAACAGAATAAAACAAAAAAGCAACAGCCCAGAGCAGTCTTTTGTTTGTTGCTGTATTTAAGCAGATACATTCACCAGATTTACATCCCACTGGTGACATCCTTAACCCTTTATTACTGGTTTTACTGGTGTGCAGGCACGATCTGTATTCTTTCAGTTTGTCTGTTCCTCTTCCTTATCCAGCTTTGAAGCAGACCTCTGTGGTATTAACTTCTATATATACTGTATCTTCATCTATAAAATAAAGGGAAGGTTTCATACAAGCAGCTGTGAAGTTGCATTTATTGTCTGTAAATTGCTTTTAGCGATTGAGCTGAGGAGGTGGAAGGAAAGAAAGACAGTGAAGTAAAATGGGTTTGATTTTTTTTTTTAATTTTTTTTTTTTTTTTAAATCGAAGAGAACTGCATTATTTGTTCATCTGATGTAGAGTTGATGGGAAGAGAAAAATGCTTTACCACATCCACCCTGAAACTAATTGTTAAATTTGTAATGGAAACAGACATTTCTGAGCACAGTGATGAAGGCAGCCATCTTGTTGGATAATAAGAGTCCAATTTAAAAAGAGAAACAATTATTATTGAAATCCTGCAGTACTGCTCATATTTT